CAGAAGTACTCCGAGAAAGCCACCTGGTTCATCCAGCGTGCCAGGTAAGGAGTCCCCTGGCCCCGGGCGCAGGCCCTACCGCCTGCTCACTGTTGACAGGGGTGAGTGTCTCTTCCTGCTGCTGGGACAGACCCCCCATCACCTTCTTAGCTAAATCAGCAAAGTAGCCTCAGTTGTGGAAGCCAGTGGTCAAAACCAGTACCAGGGGCTGAAACCCAGATGCCCACGGGGTGTTTCCTTTGGGAGGCCTGGGGTGGAATGGAAAGGGGGGCTCTTCCTGCCTCTTCTAGCTTCTGGAAGCTGCTGGTCTGCATCATTCTCATCTCTCCTCCTCTGGCTGCTGCCTTTCCTCAGATGCCTTCTCCTGCTCCCGTAAGGACAGGTATGATCACCTTTCGGGTCTAAGAACCCAAGGTAATCTTCCTATGTCTAGATCCTTAGCATAATTGCATCTGCAAAGACCCTTTTGCCATATAAGGTAGCACTCACAGGATTAGACCAGGGACATCTGTGGGGACATTATAACTTCACAGGCTTCACAGCCCTGGGTTGAACCCCGAGCATTGCAGGGCCCAAGTAGGTAACATTATTTTTGGTGGAGAGAGGTGATTGAGGGGAAAGATTCTTGCATAGACACAAGAGGCCAAGAGCTGCCCAGGTAGGTGACCTTGAAGAGGGAAGCATTAGGCATAGGCATTAGGGAATGGTGGGGCCTGCGGTGAACTTGAAGACACTTCCTCCGCGGGAGGGCCTGTGGCTGCCAGGTCCAGTGCCTGGTGCTTGTGGGGAGAGGAGCCTTCTTTCCGTTTCTCAGGAGCCAGGACACCCAGCCCTTGTGAGAAATCTTTGATCTTTAAATATTCCACTAGTTGGATATTAGACGTGGCAGAAAGCAACACACTGTCAGGCCATGGGGTGTTTAAGTGTGCGGGACGCTGGGCCCTGCCTCTCGGTCGGCTCAGGGCGGAGGGTGGATGTTGTACAGCAGTGGGCGATGACCAACATGCATCCTCATTGGGTGCATGTGTGCCAGCGTGCATGGGCACACACACACGTGCCTCTTACCCGCCTGTCCCGCCCCGGCCCTCGCGTGACCCCGAGTTGGCAAACTTGAGGATGGCAGAAGAGTTTCCTGCCGTTTTCCTTCAATAGTTCTGAAACAACAGCCTCTGTGGCCATGCCAATTAAAAATGAGTAGCTGTGTCTGCAGACAGCTGACTCGTCAAAAGGGCACGGAACCTGCCAGCCGCTCATGCTGGACTGTTTGAGAAAGGTCAGCGGGAGGCCAAGCAGCTGTGGAGATTCGTTTATGAGGTTTTATTCTCCAGGTGGCCCCTTACTAGTTTCCAGGGCTTTCTGAGAAACAGGTTCATTTTCTGGTGACTCACAGAAAGTGCTCAACCCTCCGGGCCTGAGACCTGGGCACTTCTCTGCCGCCAGAGGCTTCCAGATGGCTTCAGGGCCCTGTCCCCCAGGCCCAGTGGGTGCTTTGTGGCTGGTGGGGACTGTGCCTGGCACTTTCTGCAACAGGGAGGGTTTTCAGGGGAAGTGATGGCAGCCTGTGGGGGCCGGGGCTGTTTAATGCCCCTTTGATGTAGACAGACCTGGTGCCTGGTTGGGGAAAAACAAGTACTTCAGGAACGGTCTCCTTATCACATGAAAAGCCTGAGCTGCTTGCTGCTTTATTAACTAGTTGTTAAGTGAATAGTTACATGAATCCTGTTGGCTTTTACCTGGGCAGAAAACACTCCTCAGGGTGCTGATTTCTTTAGGAATTTTCTTGCCAATTCATCCATGATTTTCGCAGCATCAGCAGAAAAGACCCCCAACCCCATCCTGACTCCTTCTTCTTGGCTCCCTGGACATTTGCCAAAACTACCAGGGGTCCGTGGCCGGTGCTTTCGCCCCCTGGGCAAGGGCCCCCCCCCAGTCTTTCTTTGGAAGTTTCTGTTTCCGTCTTTTCTTGTATTCAGACCCTTCATCCAGCAGTGACACTGAAAGCTAATCCTCCAGTGGGCTTTTTAAGCTGCAGACAAAGCTCTAGAACTGGCAAAAGGGAGCGGGCAGATGGCACGGCCCGGGGTCAGATGGTCCAGCCCTCGGCTCCTCGCTGGGCTGGTCAAGGAGGAGCGTCTGGGGCAGAGTGTGAGTTGGGGATATTTGAACTGAGCCACGTGGGGAATCCAGAGCTTGATCAACGTTCCAGAGCATTCGTCCTTTGGGATGAGGCCCCTGAGAGGCTCAGATGACCGAGCAGGCTGAGTGCCCCCACCCCCGGACCTGCAGAGGGGCCACTGTCCCTCGTGTCCTGGCTTCACCCTCCCCCTCATTGCTGCCTTCAGCACCCACCGCCCAACCCGCAGCAGGTCTCTGAGTTCAGGGTGCGTGCGACCTTGCTTGACCTTGCTCACTGTCTGCCCCCTTCATTCTTTCTCTGGGTTGGAAGCTGGATGAACAATATGGCGGTGTGAAGAGCTGAGTCCTCATGAAGAGTGAGGGCCTGGAAGCTTCTGCTTCCATCTGCGGCTTCTCTCCGAGGATGGTCTGTCCAAGTGGACACCCCCATGCCCACTTGCACCCCTCATCCTGCTGTTCTTGGGCCCTGTCCTGCCTCACCCCAAACCCTCTTTGGCTCCCCATTTTGCTCTCTCACAGCGCCCTGTGTTTTTCCTCTGTTACCCCTACAAAATCTGTACAGAATCACGGGATTCATTTTTAGTTGCATTTTCTCTCTCCTGTTTCCAGTGAGCTGCTATATCCCCAGAAGGTGGAGTCGTATCTATCACGTCCGATGCTCTGGCCCCAGGTCCTGAGTCCTAACTAGAGCTTCATCCTTAGTCATCAGTGGATAAATGAATAGACTACATTAGCCCCGACAGGTGCTGGTGTCGTGTGAGGGGCAGAAACAGGAATTCCGCCTGCCTGTGCGTTTGAGCAGCCCAGGCTAGTGGGGGCAGCTGTGTCCAAAGCCAGTTCTGGCGGTTGGTATTGCCAGTGCCCATCAATGCCATGGGGTGGAGGGGGGTCGGGGAGTGTCAAGGACTCCTGGGGCAGAGGAGGAGTGTTGGGGACTTTTGAGCTGGGTCTTATGAATGGGCTAAGTGTCCTTAGCAAAACACCAGGGCGGCTCTGCGGGAGGGGACAGCTGGGCGAGGCACGGGTGGCGGAGGGGCAGGAGTCCAGGACGGGCCGCAGGCGCCTCGAGGGCCAGCAGGTGGGCTGGAAGGGCCCAGGCTGCAATGGTCTGTGCGCTGGGCTGTGAGGGTTGGACTCACCGGCTGGCTGAGTGGGTTTCCCAATCAAGTCGGGTTCCAGAAGGCTGTTTATAAAGCTGAGGCCAGAGGGAGGCGGTGAAAGTGAGGGGCCAGTGCTATTCACCCTGCATTCCAGAAAGACCCTTTGTCTTCCATCCCCAGGGGGCCTGCTGGAGCACAGAGGGCTGGGGCTGCTGGGGGCAGGAGCCTGCTCCTCCCTGCTGGTGGGGTGCCCTGCCTCACCTCCAGCCTGGCTCTCTCCAGCCGCACTGCTGGGGACCACTTGTGAGAGGCAGCTGCCCCTTGCCTGCCACTTTCTCTTTCGGGCCCAGAACCTTCCTGCAGACAGTCTCACGCCTGCCCTGTCCTCTTGTCTGGAGGTCCTGTCCTCTTGTCTGGAGGTCCTAGTCTGCTTACCTCTCCACTTGTTTTATCACACAAACAGCAGGTGTTCCCTTAGAAGTCTCCAAAAACAAATAAGCAAGCAGAAAATAAAATCACCCCAATGCCACAGCCCTTCCCCCCAGCAGCCCCTCCTGCCAGTCTGGATGTGTCTCTCCAGCTGGTCCACAAAGTGTCCGAAATGGAATTGTCTCACTGTCCGACTGTCTGCTGTCATCTCTTGGGACTAGCGACTGACACGTAAACACATGCTTTTATTTTCTTTTAGGTGATGCTTTTATTTTCTTTTAGGACGTTAAATTTCAGTGTAAGTCAAGCAGACCCACCACTCGGGCGACTGCCTCGGACAAGACAACTCTAGAAACGTCACCAGACGCTATTGATCAGTGCGGGGTGGGTTGGCTGAGCCCTCGTGCCTTGGGCTTTATGTCAGGTTGCTGAGTGCAGGCGCCGTCCTAGTCTGTGATCAAGGCATCAGGATTCGGGGAGGGGGCGCTGGCTGTGGCTTGATGCAGAGCTGAGGCTGGGGGGCTCTCAGGCAGCTGCTCGCGAGATTGTGCTAGGCAGGGTGGGCACAGGATCCTGGGTGTGTTTGAAAATCAAGTCTCAGGGCCTCTCCTATCACCACTTTGCACAAACCCAACCAAGAGTTCCCCTAACCTGTGTCTGCCGAGGAGAGAGCGACCTGGGCGTTAAGAGCGATCTGGGGGTTCATTCTCGGCTCTCCCACTGCAGCACCAGCGGAAGGCCTTTCCTGCTCTACATGGGCTTGGCCCACATGCACGTGCCCTTGTCCAGGACCCAGCGCTCAGCCGACGCCCGGGGGGCCGCCCCGTACCGTGCAAGTCTCCGGGAGATGGACAACCTGGTCGGCCAGATCAAGGATGAAGTTGACCGCACAGCAAAAGAAAACACATTCCTCTGGTTTACAGGTGAAGAATAAAACCTAGCCAGTCTCATGGAGACCTACTGGCTACCTTGACCCCCCCCACCAGCGTGACTGGCCAGCGACCCTCATGGGTGGGGCGGGGGCTTGCTGAGAACTCACTTCCCGCTGGCATTTGTTGGCTTGAATGCTGAAAACTCTGAGGCTTCCAGGGCAGGGCCCCTGGAAATGTTTGCTCAGAAACAGCTCCTGCCCCACAGCCCTGTGTAACGATCAAGTCCACTGGATGTTGCTCCTGCTTGTGAGTGAACGGCTTTGACACTGTCAGCCTACCTAGCGACTCTCACAGTTCTGCTTCACCCTCCTCCGGGTCCCCAGGGCTCTGGCCACCCCTGGCACCAGGTCATGTCAGCTAGTGAGCCCTGCAGGGTCTCCATGAGCACTGTGGGTCTTCGGTCCCTGCGGATGAGGGTGTCAGGCGGCGACCTGGGTTTGCACCAGCACTGTCGGGCAAGTTGCTTTAGCCTCTTTAAGGCTGTTCCTGCAAGTGCAGTCTTGACCTAGTAGGAGGATCTGTGCGGCACAGTTGGAGGTTATGGGGTGATGTGTGGGCGCACCCCAGGGAGGGGCACAGTGCATGGTAGAGCATTGACGATGAGGGGTTGGGGCGGTTACCACTGCAAAGAGCAGAGTGCATAAGGCAAGACCCTCGGGGTGGTGGTGGGGTGCTAGGGAGGCGGGGCAGAAGCCCCCGGCTCTGGAAGCCCAGTGGAGGGGAGGGTTCAGATTTGCTTCCACACGTCCTCCACTGTCCAGTCCCCTGCTGTGCACAGAGATGTGGGGCCAGAGGGGAAAGACCATGTCCACCAGCCCACTGACCACACGTCCTGCTTGCTTTGACTTCTAGGAGACAATGGCCCCTGGGCACAGAAGTGTGAGCTGGCAGGCAGCACAGGTCCCTTCTCTGGATCATGGCAAACTCGTCAAGGTAGGGGGCCAGCTGGAGCTGGGGGCTGCTGGGTGTGAGGGTCTGCCTCTGGGAGAAGCAGTTTATGTCCAGGCCTTCGGGCATCAGTGAAGCAGGACACGTCGTCCACCAGCCACCAGCTGCCACAGGAGAAACAAAGAGTGACTGAGACAGCTTCTGCCCAGCCCAGACACCCCTTCTTGTCTTATGCTCCAGGGGTCCCCGCTGGGGACCAGCCTTCTCCCAACTGGCCTGTCCATCCATAGAGCTTCCATCACGTATTTCTTTGCCTTCATTCTGCTGCCCATCCTCTCTCTCCTTCCTTTCTACTTCCCCCCGCCCGCCTTTTTTGAGTTACCCTTCCATCCGTCCAACCATTAATTCCACTCACTGATTCAAGAAATCTCTAATGCACAAATAGGCCAGGTCTTTATATATATTATCTCTAGACCTTAGAATAATGATAAGTAGATGGTAATAAGTCCTGTTTGCTCAGGAAAAGAGAGAGAGCAGCTCAGAGAGGCTGAGTCACTTGTCCAAGGTCACACAGCATATGAGGATGAAGCCAGACTTGCTACCTAAAGTCAGCGTGTCCCAATACACCCTCTGCTGAAATGTCCTTCAGCTCCCAGCCCATCTGCTCTGGGAAAGTGGCCCCAGGAGAGCCTCACTTTCTGAGAGGACAGTTATACAAGGGACAGTTTGGCTATGTTGTCAAAGTCTTGAAACATGATGTCAAAGCTATTGATTATCCAATTTCTCCTCTAAGAATTGCTCTTAAAGTATCAGTCCGGCACCCATGATGTATGTGAAAGAGTGGTCACTGCAGTGGAATTTTAAAAAATAGTTGGACATGACCCAAGAGTTTAGCAAGTGCTTAAGAAATCACATTCTATTCATTTAAAGAAATACGAAGGCACCGCTGTAATGATGCATATTGTTGATTGGAAAACATTTCCACTATATAGTTAGCAGTGAATAAACAGATTGCAAAATAATATAGAAAGTATGATTTTATTGTATAAAAATAAGCATACGTATTCTCAGAGAAGTCTTGAGAGAGCCCACACCAGGGCACAGAGATTAGCCCTGGTTCTCTGGATGGGGGAAGAGGATTTAAATGTGACTTCCTCCACAACAAAGTATTATTTACATCCTAGAGGAGTAAAGATTTTAGAAGGAGCTTGTATGGGGGCTCGGAGGTGGGCTTGACCGGTTTTACCCACTGGACTGGGGTGCCCAGGTCAGCGGACACAAACTCCTGCTCATGTTGATCTGGAAGGATATTGTAGTTACCTGGAAACTGGAACATTCCCGCGTCATGTAGGTGGTGGAAGGACGTGCCGACCCTTCATTTTCAGTTGTCAGCTTTAACCCGGTATCCCCGGAGCCAGGCCTGGGAAAACCTTTCAAGCCAGTGGTGTTGGGGCTGTGTTCGTGTCATGTGTCTGGAGATTCAAGGAAAATGGGTGCCACCTCCCCTAACTTCTCAGCGACCAGACTGTTTCATCTTCACCTGCTGGGTGCTGGACTTCTGCCTCCCTGTCTTTCTCTCCTTCTCTTGAGCTCAAGAATGAAGAAAGGATGCTGGGTGGAGGTGGGGTGGGGGGCGTGTTGGCTGTCTGCTGCAGGAGCCTAGCGAAATACAGTCCCAGCTGGCAATGGCTTTTCACGTGAGTTGATGATAATTCCTCCGCTCTGGACCTGGGCCACCCTTGCACCCATCTGCCATCTTCAGCGTTCAGCTGGGAAGCCTGAAAGAACCAGGACTTCGCTCTTTGGGTGAAAACCAGAGACGGAGGATGGGGATAAAGTTCTGGACTCCTCAGTGGTGGAGGGCACTTTGCTCCTTAAGAAGGGGACCTCTGATGACTGAAATGAGGAGCTGCCTTAATGTCTCTCTCCCTCCTTGTAAGCCAGTTTTGAAACATCGTGTCCAACTTAAGGATGTGGCCCTGTGTCCCATCCTTCGAGAAAAGAACTTTACCCACTGAGAAATGCGCTCACCAGCTGGGCAACCTCCACAGCTCCTTTCCTGCAGTTTGTCAAGCACCTACTATGTGCCAGGAGCTGTGCACAGTTCTGGGACCACAATCAATGAGCCCCCTGGCCTTAAGTCTAGAGCAGTGTTCCTCAGATTCTAACATGCAGGCAGGTCCCTGTGGATCCCGCTAGCAGGCAGGTGTGACCCGGCAGGTCTGGGATGGGGAGGGAGACCAAGCGTTTCTAACAAGCTCGTGGATATGCTTGGGCCAGGGACCCCACTTTGAGAACCATGGATCTCGAATAGCTAGACCGTGTGAGTCCTGTACCAGGCATGGGCCAGAGCCGCCTGCAAGCTTGTTAGCCATGCAGACTCGGGCCTCGCCCCTTCGCAGTCCATCAGGACCCTGGGGGTTGGCTTTCACTGATCTGTGTGTGTGTGTTTTGGTTTTTTTTTTTAAGATTTATTTATTTATGTGTACAGAACTGGAGTACAGTCCCGAGGTACAGAGGCAGTGAGAGGACTCACCAGAGACAGAGTGGGGAGCTGAACAGGCAGCCAAACAAAAAAACCTACTGAGGGGAGCAGCAGGCAGGTCAGGATAGGTCTGCCACGCCATGTGGTCACCTCCGGGGCAGGCGGGGATCGAACTAATGCGGAAGTGGCTTAAGCTTCTTAGTGCTGCGCTTTAACCCGCTGCGCCACCAGGGAGGGCCGTGATCTGTGTTTTAGCAAGACCTGCCAGTGAGTTGGATGTGCGCTCAAGTTTGAGAAGCACCTCTCTGGAGCTTCCCCTCCCATGCCAGGCACAACCCCCGTGGCCATTTGAATTAAAATTAAATGAAAATCCAGTGCCCAGTCACACCAGCGGTGGTTCAAGGGCTCAGCAGCCCACAGGACAAACGGTGATCACAGTGGATGTGAAGTCACAGAAAGACTGTTTCCACCCTGGGAGAGATTCTGTTGTCCGTGCTGGGGGCAGACTTTGGGGGTCGCGTGTAACCCAGGGCAGGACAGCTGTGGCCAGGGCAGTGGACTCTCGCTCCCCTGGGGCAGAACAGAAAGGCTTCCCAGCGGGGGAGGGCGCCCTGGGCAGCCCCGGAGAGTGGGCAGAGACCAGGAGGCAGCAGCTGCCCAGCGGCCTGGTCTGGGGCTGAGGGACAGCTGGGCGCAGCGGATAGCGAGCCATGGCCAGCGGTGGAAGGAACTTTCCTTCAGGCCAAGGGCTTTGGCCTTTATCCTAAAGAAGCATGTGCAGTCATCAAGGAGGTTGAGTGAGGCTGTCATCACTGAATTTTTAAAAATTCAGGTGTAATTCAGGTAACATCCAAAGGGCCACTGGAACCTGGACCGCCTGGTGCGTCCGGCACACTGTGCTGTGCAGCGGTCACCTGTTGAGTCCCCAAACATTCTCATCACCCCAAAAGAAAACCCCACACCCTTCAACCATTAACACGCCCTCCCCAGACCTCCCAGCAGTGTGCTCATGTTGGTGGGCCGAAGAGGGTGTGTGAGGGGAGAAGCTAGACATTTGCACCAAGTCCCGGATGGTAGGAAAGACGCACGTGACCATAACTCCAGGGGTCTCTCTGTAGAACGCAGCAGGGCAGCCTCCACCTTCTTTGCCTCAGTCTCCCTGTCAGGGAAACTGAGGCTGAACAGGCGGAGGACTTGCCCTGGCGGCTGCCGAACCCGTCAAGGGAAATGCCATTAGCCTTGCGGCGGTCCAGGCGTCTAAATCTGTGTGGCAGCAGGGACCAGGGGACAGAGCTGGGGCCTTTGGAGGCCGAGGCTGGGCTTGAAGCTCCACCCAGCTTAGGAGCCTGGGGACCCTCCTCCTGCGCCTCCCACCCCACCACGGGGCCTGGGGCCCCCAGGCAGGGCCTCTGGAGAATCAACTGGCATCATGTGTGTGCTCGTGTCTCCTAACCCACACCCCCTCAGAAGAGTGTGCCCCAGGAGGAGGGCTGGGAGGGGGTCAGAAACTGCCCCGAAGAGCTTTCCCTCTTCACCTGTCCACGGGCAGCAGGCATGGAGAGCGGAGCCTCTGCCGGCAACGGCTCTGCCTGGAGGAGCTGAGCTCCGCGGCTGGCGTGATCCTCTCAAGGTAACGCCCTTTCTGTCCGGCGAACTTGGCAGCTTGACGTGACGTCTGGGGGTCTGCGTGCGGCCGGTGGCCACGCTCCTCTTTGCTCTTTCCTCTGTGCCTGGGGTAAGCGTTACCCCTTCCCCACGCCCCCCACCACCTGCCCTCAGCTGCGCCACGGCTTCTTCCTCCCCTCTGCTCAGGAGGCTGCAGGAGCGCTGGAGGCCAGGCTATGGCCAGGGCCTCGGTCACTGGGTCTGGGGCCCCTTTGGACCCCTGCTCCCCCTGGCCCGGGGTCCTCCTCAGTGGGACCCCGCCGGTCTTGCTCTGCAGAGTCAGTGTCTAGATAGATGAAAGAGAAGACAGGGATGTTTTCGCAACGGGGCAGGACAAACAGTACCAGAGTTCTGCTTTCTTTCCCCGGCAGCCAGCACGCTGTTGCGTCAGGCCTCACGCTGCCTTCCCTTCTCCCCGGCCGCCCTCCCCTCTTCCTTTTCCTTTCCTGGCCAAGCCGCCTCGCTCAGCTGAGGGGATGAGGCAGAGTCTCCTGGATTCGTCTTTCTCCCCCTCGCCCCCCACCCCCAGCGTGTGAGGATGCGCCTCTGGCCTGGGCTGGCGCCCTGCAGGGGTGAGGAGAAACTGACCAGGGGGCTGGGGGGCAGAGCGGAGCTGTCTCCCCACAGACGCAGCCACAGCCCCTCTCTGCCCGCCCCGCCCCGCCCCGCCCGGCCGGACCTGCTTCCTGCTCAGCACAACCAACACCTTGTTTGTGCTCCTGGCTGCTCCCCTGTCTGGAAAAGCTTTTCTTGTTTTATTTGAAGAGCAGAACTGTTCCTTCCTCCCCCTTGGTGATGAGGAAACATTCTGTTGAACTTGGCATCCTGGGCTTCTAGCAGACCTTGGTTGTTTGTAATTTGATGCTATCAGGCCCTTGCATAACCTTTCCCACCA